CCATGGGGGGGGGAGGGCTTCTGTTCAATCTAACAGTTCAATAGGCTTCCTTGGTGAGTAGCAACTACTAGAAAATGTTTGCTTGAATGCCCTGAGAGCCCCTGTAACTGGTGGATACTGGCTGCCAAGTAGAATCCAATATTAACAATATTGCTTTCTCCAATGATGTCTATATGATGTCTCACTGCCTAATCCTACAGCCATGGGGGGGGGAGGGCTTCTGTTCAATCTAACAGTTCAATAGGCTTCCTTGGTGAGTAGCAACTACTAGAAAATGTTTGCTTGAATGCCCTGAGAGCCCCTGTAACTGGTGGATACTGGCTGCCAAGTAGAATCCCCCAGCCAGTCCATCTAGCGAAAAACGGGCCCCAAAACACCCATTTTGTGAGGATCACCCTTAGGGAAGCCATTTTGCGAACCGCCGATCAGCTGTTCTAAATAGTCGTGTTGCGAAAAAAAGGTCCATGCAGCATGGACCAAATCAGCATCCAATGAAATTCCCCCATAGGAATCACTGTTTTACGAAGCAAAATGGCTGCCGCAAAATGTCATCGTCATGCAGATTTGTCGTTTTGAGGGGTAACCGTCTTGCGAGGTGCCACTGTATTGGTGGTGGTTGTAGTTTTTTGGGCTGTTTGGCTGTGTTCTTGAGGTTTTTCTTCCTAACGTTTCATCAGTCGCTGTGGCCAGCATCTTCAAAGGACAGGTGTTAGAACTCTGTATGTGTTCTGGTGTAATGTGTGGGATAGACCTACAACAAGACCATTGGATCCCGGTTGTGAAAGCCTTCGAGAATACTTAACAATATTGCTTTCTCCAATGATGTCTATATGATGTCTCACTGCCTAATCCTACAGCCATGGGGGGGGGAGGGCTTCTGTTCAATCTAACAGTTCAATAGGCTTCCTTGGTGAGTAGCAACTACTAGAAAATGTTTGCTTGAATGCCCTGAGAGCCCCTGTAACTGGTGGATACTGGCTGCCAAGTAGAATCCCCCAGCCAGTGAGAAAACAAGTGTGTGATTCTGAAGCATGCAATGAAGAAGTCTTGAGTTTTGCAGCTGGCAGGCAAATAGACATGAAGGGCTCTAAAGGGAAACACCTTTTGCTTTTTTCAAGACTAGCATTGCCTAGCCTTTTGGCTGTTTATTTTGCCTGCTTCGTCTCTCCTAATCAGAGCATTTGGAATAATTATTAAGGCTATTAAGAAATCACCGTAATTTTCAAGAATTATTGCCAAACAGTTCCAGGCCCTCACATGAAAACTGACCTTTTAAAAACTCCCACTTGTCATGAATGGTAGAGCCGGCCCTTGTACTAGGCAGAGTGAGATAATTTCAGATGTTGAGGGATAGCAGTGATCAACTTCCCTGCTGTTTCTCTCAAGATCCTTAACCGTTCCCCTCTCATAGTCTGTCCTGCAGGCCCTCAGCTAGACTACGAATTTCAAGAAGGATGAAAAATGCTACCCCATCCCTAGTAAGATTTGGGTACACCATCTCGTCCTTTGGGTTGGGTGACAATTGTCTTGGACTGGCTCTGAAACATGAGAAAGGGCTCATGCAGTTGAGGTCTTACAGCTGACACAAATTTGCTGAAATTGTACAGATGTTGACCAACTCCTCCTACCCTCAGGCAGTAGTTCAAAGGGCCTATATTGGTTCCATCCCTCATCCGCTGTTATGGGATGCAGCAGCTAATCTACAAGTCTCCCACCTACAGTATTTAGACTTCTCTGGTGAGGAAAGAACCCAAATGTCCTTCGGCGGTCTACAACAACCTAGCAAACCATCCAAAGCTCTTGTTTCCTTGAAAATCCTGACTTCAGATGGCACAGAATATAGCTAGAAGCACATTTCAGTGGGAACTTCAGACTTTGGAGTATGGCTTAGCCAAGGTGCCTTCTCCTTCTGCTTATTGCTATCACTGTCCCCATTAACTCTCTCACATACCCCGGGAAATTTGCCTACAGAGAAACAATAAGAGAGAGGGCAAGATGATCAGATAATGCTATTAAGTCTCCTTGCTTTTGTTCACAACTCATTTGCTTAGAGGGGGTGAATTAACATTATCTGCAAGGAAAAGGAGCAATCATCTCCTTGGCAGGTCCCCACTGATGTCATAACCGGCCTCAGTGGCACTGAAATGCAACATTCCAAATCAGAAAACATTGCTTGTAAGGGTCTTCTGGGTCTTACTTGGTTGATCCAGACATTTGCAAGAGGATTTAGAAGAGCTCAGTTCAGGGCAGTATCTATGTCCTCCTAGAGCTCTCCCAGGTCCTGAACATCCCATAACACTCTATGGTATGTACTAAATATGCTCTGGTTATGTATCATCTTGCTACCTATTTTCAGATTTAGTAGCAAGATGCTTAAGACTACCTATTGGCCTTGCCTACTTGCAAGTTTTAATGCTGCCAATACATCAAACTAAGAAAACCTTATCTTCCCTGCATGTAGAAATCTAATGTATCAGGTCAAATACTACCGTGTTTCCCAGAAAATAAGACAGGGTCTTATATTAATTTTTGCTCCAAAAATGCAGTAGGGCTTATTTTCAGGGGATGTTTTATTTTTTTCATGTACAATAATCTACATTTATTCAAATACAGCCATGTCATCTTCTGGTTACTGCACAATGGCGGAGGGCGGGGTTTCACTTAACTGGGGCTTATTTTTGGGGTAGGGCTTATATGATTAGCATCCTGAAAAATCATAGTAGGGCTTATTTTCAGGTTACGACGTATTTTAGGGGAAACAGGGTAGCAAGGCTAAATACACACACACACACACACACACAAACTAGCTTGTACAGATTTCTATTGTGAACACTTTGAAAATGCATGTTTCCAGAGTTTTGACTGCCTGTTGGCTTCTGATTATTACAGACTTGTCAGTGTAACCTTGTTGTTCAAGAAACCTTACACAATTTCAACATCGCCTTACACACTTTCAGAGTCCCTTATTCTCACAATATTTTCCTGTTTTTCTGGTTTTACTGGCTATTGTTTCTAGCAGCTGTTAGAGAACACTGTGGTGCTTGTTAAGCTGGAAATAAAGGATTTGCTGACAACTCTGTATATTCTATTCTTTCTAGTTAATGAAGTATGCTTTTTCAGAACACATTGATTCCTGGAAATTTCCTTCCCCAATTCCTTCGAAACAGAGATTGGGACCCTTTGTTTCTCCAGATTTTTTCCTTGCAACTCCTATCAGCCCTTTCCTGACCCTTTGTTTACTAAAGCTTCACGTACATCAAGCTCAGGTTAGACATATTTCCCTTGCCACTTAGGACTGATATGAAGGATTAATTTTTTTTTAAAAAATTCTGTCAAAAGACTTCAGAAAATGTCCTTTAAAAGTAATTTCTGGGAGTAACTGGAAAGTAACTAAAAGTGCCAAAAACTACCTTTGAAATACTGATTTCATTCTTTTTAAAATGCAACTTGCTTAGTCCTCAAATAACTAGTTACATCCATTACATGTAACTAGTTATTTTCAAACTCTTGACTAGAATGGATCATATTGATGGTGGGATATGTACGTAGACTGCAATGTTGCCATGTGCTCTACAGCAGATGTTAACAAGCATTTATGTGAGAGCCAGAGTGGTTTCAGGCCATGAAAATTCACTGAGGGATACCTAGGGCAAACTATTATTTGACCACACAGATACCTTCTAGGGCAGTGGTCCCCAACCTTGGGCCCCCAGATGTTCTTGAACTTCAGCTCCCAGAAATCCTGGCCAACAGAGGTGGTGGTGAAGGCTTCTGGGAGTTGCAGTCCAATAACATCTGGAGGCCCAAGGTTGGGCAGATACCTTCTAGGGTCACCATAAGCTGGATAGAACTTGACAATGCATAACAGTCTAACAGCCATCACCATGCATGTGTTTCTGATATATGAACTACTTATGATAAATGTCTTCACTGGGTAGGATGATACTGATAACCAAGCTACCCTGTGATCGCATTACTCCAAAACAACCTGGTTCTCTTGCTCACTGTGGCAAGAACTCCACAGTCAGGCAAGCTGATTCTCTATCCTACATTCTCTATCCTCTGGCTTGACAATGCATAACAGTCTAACAGCCATCACCATGCATGTGTTTCTGATATATGAACTACTTATGATAAATGTCTTCACTGGGTAGGATGATACTGATAACCAAGCTACCCTGTGATCGCATTACTCCAAAACAACCTGGTTCTCTTGCTCACTGTGGCAAGAACTCCTTGGTCAGGCAGGCTAATTCTCTATCCTACATTGACAATGCATAACAGTCTAACAGCCATCACCATGCATGTGTTTCTGATATATGAACTACTTATGATAAATGTCTTCACTGGGTAGGATGATACTGATAACCAAGCTACCCTGTGATCGCATTACTCCAAAACAACCTGGTTCTCTTGCTCACTGTGGCAAGAACTCCTTGGTCAGGCAGGCTAATTCTCTATCCTACATTCTCTATCCTCTGGGAGGACTTATCCCAGTGTCCATTGTATTCAAGTTTGGTCTGAGGATCTTGTATCTGCGTAATGCTGGGCACAGCACAAACCAAACCGCCTTTCAAACAGCATATAGACAGAGTTGTCAATCTTAGAAATTCAAAGCCATCTTTGCACGTTGTCTAATAGCTGCCATTTGCAGAAGCAGTGACAAGAATCAGCCGCAAGACATCTTATCTTGTTTTTCTCTTAGCATTAAAATGGTACTGTACTTCTGAAATTTTTCTTGAAGCTCATCTCTCACAAAGATCAGGTTACTTGTTCCATGTTAAGTGTGCACCCAAAAGGAGAAATGGAGAATTCCAAGGAAACAGTCATTGTTGCACAAGACATGCAAGGTGTCAGTAAGAATTCTTACAGATCCAGATTGGCAGGATCCACCCTTTTTCAATCACAGCAGTTTGGAAGAGAAAAGGACTTATTCGGTGATGTTAAAAATATTTTATTAACATTGTAGAGAAAGTTTTTGATCACTATGAAAGCAGAAAGGGATCTCCAGTGAAGCCCCCAGCTGAATGAAACGTTCCATTTCCCCCGCAAGCCAAGATATTAAAAAAGGAAAAACAAAACTAAATCTTTTTTAAAATTTTGAAATAAGCTTTATACAAATCAGCCTTATGTACATTCCCCTCACCTTTCACTCGTTATTTACTATACAAGGCAACATAAATAGCAACCTTGACACTGTACAACAAAAGAGAAGGCTTATTAAAATTGTGCTCTTTTTTTAAAAAAAATTTCACACAGAGTTTCATTTATTACAAAAATATTCACGATGGATTTGTTTTTGCTTTTTGGTTCTTTAAAAATTAAGCTTTCCTCTTTGACAATAGCTTAAAATGACAAAACTAGAGTGAAACACAATTTTTTCTATCTTAAAAAAAATAACTTAAATTATTCCCGAAGTATTTTAAATATTTCCCCAAATTTTTAAATAAACATTTCTTACCCCATCCAAACCTTTAGAAACCTTAAATGAAGATCAAATTCTTGAGTCATGTACACTGGTATCTGATGCAGCCTGGCTATTGCGATCCTCTGAACTTAGGGAAGTTAATATTTGGACTACAACTCCCAGGATGATATGGGATTCTGTGAATTGTAGTCCAGAACTTGAGCTCTTCCAAACTCTGGTTCTGCTACCAACCTGCAGCATTTATTAACTCAGTGGGAATAAAACACAGATTTTAGTAGTGAAGGCTTCAGATATTTTTTTCTTCCAGTTCTATCCTGCATTTTTTGTTTGTTTTTGGTGTTTTAGGGTTAAAAAAAATCTGATCTCTTGCAGGTCAATCCTACACATGCCTATTCCAAAGTAAATCCCAGTGAGTTCAAGGGAGCTTACTCATAAGGAATTGGGTATAGGATTTGCAAGATTTTACTTGATGAAAACTTGGAACAACCCATTATAATTTCGACAAATCTTCTCCCTTTTCTTTCTCCTCTAGATAAAACCTCCACTCACCCCCCCCCCAAAAAAAGGCTGGTGTAAACCAAGGAACCAAATCTTTAAACCCCCCAGTCCTGTGTAAATAGAATATTCTCAGAAAAGAGCTGGTGGATTGCCAGTAATGTAAAAGGGATCATATTTTTTTTCATTCTTTACCCTCTTGCTAGCAGATCTCTTTCCTTTGCCCAACAGTTTATACTACCTGAGTATATGGCTCCCAAATCTTTCCTTCCAATTAAACCAGGACTGATCCAACCAGGGACAGAACTTCTATTTTCTTTCATTTGATCTTCAGATTATTACCAGTTGAAAAACTGGCCCCAAGGCTTCCTACTGACTTTTCTAATTGTAGCGATGTATACACTGTTCAGAGGACTTCTACGTAATGTAAACCTGAAATAGTCACCACCAGCATCAGAACTGACTTTTTCCATGGTACTCTGGCCTCTTTTGCATCCTCCTTGACCACAGGATCTACAATAGCACTATGTTAACACTATATACTGTCCGGTTCTGCATAACTTCTACATTTCTTTTTTTAAAAAACAAACAAACCTGAATTTAATCCTAAACATATTACAAAACATAGATACATGGACTGAGAGATGGTAAAAGTTGCTGATACCTGCCACTCTTTGTTGTTTTAAGGGGATTATTATTTCCATGGAAGAATAAGAGAAAGATGGATTTCACCAGCTGCTCCCCATTCCTAAGCTGTAAAGAAGACTAATGACAGAAATCATCTTCCTGCCATGGATAACACTGATCGGTGTTTGAAGCCCTGCCAGACATCACTCAACCCTCCAAGAAGATCCTTCTTGAAACAGCTTTATCCGGGGACATGAATAAAAACAAAACAAAATAAACAAAGCAAAAACAGAAGGATCAAGAAAACCAGTTCTAGTGTGTCTTCCTGGAAACCCAAAGTTGTGCTGTGTGCATTCTGGCTCTTTTCCAGTCCAGCAAAGAGGCTCCCAAATACTTGTCTTCTAAACGAACCTAATAGTGTTGATGGAGAGGCGAAACTGCCCATAGGCAGCCCAAGCAGGAAGCAGAGGTTGGTTGGTAAGGTAGTTTCTAGGTAAAACCTATCTGGTTGACATACAGCATGGACCACGCACCTCCCCTCGTTCCGTCCACCTTTCCCTTTCCTCCTCCTCTTGCTGTTCAATGATCTCTCAAGTGTTTTGACCCTGTTGCAGTTCAGTTTATTCCTGAGACAGGATGGAATGGGTACATGTCATACGAAACACATCAAAGAGTATTGACGTGTCGCTGTCTCTTTCTGTCTCCCTCCCGCCTTCTCTCTCTCAATCTCTCATTCTTTTTCTCTCTTTTTGCCTTGCTCTACCAGTTTCACTAAGAAGGCAAAAGAGGTTTTAATAGACTGCTCCAGGATTGGGAGGAGGAGGCGGCCCGGGAGATGGGTGATGCATAGAGCCCGACGTAGGTGGAGGTCCTTGCGGTTGTATGTGAGGCCCGCTCAGGCTCTGATGATGGTACCAAGAATTGTGGTCTTCCAAGTAGTTTGGTGGGGAGTTATAGGAGAGTGGCTGGGGTAACTGGCTCCTGTTCGCTGGGTTGTTGTGGGTGTTATTGTCCCAGAGGGTAGGAGAGGGTGGAGAATTGCAGGCCATGGAGTCACTGTTATTTGGGCTGTGTTCTAATGGGACTTCTCCATTTTTGTACAGCTTCTTGAACTTGGACCTTCGATTCTGGAACCAGATTTTTACCTGAGGGAAAAAAGGAGAGAGAACAAAACAGGTGAAAAACTGCACTCTTATAGGTTTGTGAGGAATCTGTGCCAAAGGGATTCTAAAAGGAAGGCTGAAGAGACCTTGCCTTTTCCCCATCAATATTTTTATTTTGTTTATTTACTTAATTCTTATCCTATCTTTCTCTCCTCATGAAGACCCAAGGCGGTGTATTAAAAATACTTAAACGCACCATTAAAAACATACCAATTAAAATGTGAAACTATATCTACAAATATTTAAAAACATTATTTATAAAAAAACAACAAATCAGATTTTAAGACATCTTCCAATCTTAACTGCTTGGCAATCCCAGATGTCAAACTTCCACAAAATGTTTTTCCCTCATTTTCAGTCCAGAATATCACAATGGTTCCCAGCCTTGGGCTCCCAGATGTTTTTGGACTACAACTCCTAAACAACCTGGCCAGCATAGCTAGTGGGGAACTGCAGTCCAGGAACATCTGGAGACCCAAGGCTGAGAACCACTGGAATATTAGATGGGGACCCTCATGACTTGGATTCAAATTCCTACTCAGCCACAAAGCTTACTGCAATGGTTCCCAACCTTGGGTCCCCAGATGTTTTTGAACTAAAACTCCCAGAAGTCTTCACCACTAGCTGTGCTAGCCAGGATTTCTGGGAGTTGTAGTCCAAGAACATCTGGAGATATAAGGTTGGAAAGTACCGCTGGGTGGTCATATGCCCTTTGGCCACACACCCATCACTCAGATGTTCTAACATCACAGGATTGTTACGAGGATAATATTGGAATAGTTACTATATACTCTCCTCTGAGGTCCCTAGAGAAAGGTGAGGTTAAAAGAAATGAACAATTAAATAATCTAATAAGGATTCCTGGAGGATGCTTCCCACTCCCATCCTCTGGTCGCACAAATCAGGAAGAAGTTCCACTGCTATCTGTTTTCAAACAATAATGTCTATTCTGAGAGTTGTTAAACAAAATACAATACTCTGGGGTGTCTTCAGAATTTAGAAAATTTGTTGTGGAGACTACAGGTCCCAGCATTCCATAGTCTGCATGGTGATGGTGCCTGCTAGCTTCTGGGAGTTGTAGTCCAATTCCCCCCCCAACCAACCCACCCACCCAAAGCCACCTTCCCAAGCTCTAATCACTTTTTCAAAAAGTCCAGGTGACACAACCTTGCTTGGAAGAGTTGACAAGTCTTTCAAGTCAAGTTTGGGAGGAGGACGAGGACAGTGATGATGATGAAACTTAGGGCAGGGCTAGAAAGGCGGCCCCAGTGGGCTGGTAAACCTCCCAATAGTTCTACTTGGCCTCTATGACTCCATCTGTGTCCCACTTCAGAGGAAGAACACAGGAAGAATGGGAGAAAGTGGGTGGTGGGTGGGAAGGGTGAGCAAGGGAGCAAACAAGGGTGATGTGAAGAGGAGAGAAAAAGAAACTCTTTGTAATCAAAACAAGGAAGAAGGAAAGCTTGGCAACAGGATAGAGCCTTTTGTATTGCATTGAGAAATCCACCATCCTATTTTGGAGGTGGGGAGAACTCAAGAGTTGTGTCGGTTACTGGAGCTGCCTAGCTAGCAACCAGATCCTACTATGTGAAAAGTCATTTTCTAATATATTAAAAGGCACTGTTTACTTAAGTATTTGCTGCCTGCTGCTTAATTAAGCAGTGAAATGATGAGCTGCGAGACCTTCAAGATTAATCAGACTACCTGAACTCAAGTCAAAGCTGTTGCAAAGAGCGCCAGAGATTTCAGAATAGAGCTCCCAGTAATCTCCCAGTTGTTATGCTGAACTGAGGGATTCTGGGAGTTGTAGTCCAAAAAAGATGACCTTTCCAATCTCTGGAGACGGTTTATATGTATTAGACTGATGTACTCCAACCTGGTGCTGTCCACATCTGCCCTCTCCAGATGCATCCTATGATTCCCAGCTATGTGAAAGGGCAAAGAGGAATCAGTGGGTTGGAGCACCCAGAGCAGAGATTCAATGAAGTGACAGTTGCTCCATGAATTAAGACAAATTTAGATATGCATGACTTGTCTGTGAATGAGAGAGACAGAGAGAGAGAGAATGCAACTTTGCAATGATTAATCAATTCCTTGGAGGTCCCTATTTCTTACACAAGACACAACAGCCCACCTGGAAATTCTCCTGCCAACCTCTACTGCAGTGAATGAGAACGGGCAAAGAAACTATTGAGGATCTGATCTCAAACAGTATTCCAACCTAGAAAACTGATATGGAAAAGCAGAAGGGAGGGATTATGTAAAATCAATGGAATACCTATTAATAATTTTGTGTGTGTGTGTGTGTGTGTGTGTGTGTGTGTGTGTGTGTGTGTGTGTGTGTGTGTGTGTGTGTGTTTTAAGAAAACAGAAAGCAGGTATGGGGACTTGCAACTCACTGACAAGCCCTAATTAAGTCACACCAGCAACTCAACATGGGACTCAACTTGTGACTCAGATCCATTTTTCCAAGTCTTGTTTTCGAGTCTCGAGTCTCTTAATGGACACCTGCAGAAGAAGCACTCAAATGGTGGCAAACAGCAAAGAAGGAGGTCCTGCTAGGGAGGTGGGGTTTTCAAGAGGGTAGGGGGGTTGAGGGGTGAGGGAAGGCAAGCAGGCTCAGCATTTTTTCCTATTGGCCACAACTTCAAGCACAAGGGTGGTCTGGCTAAAGGGAGGAGGTAAAGGAGGAGGAATATATATGACTGCTCTGTGTGTTTTTCCTGTGTTTTCATTGTGTCATCTATTGGGGTGGTTTGTCTGGAGGATCAGCTCTGGCTTCAACCAGCAAGCTGTCCTTGGTGGTTCACAATCCTCAGACCACCTTACCCACACACAGACCCCATCCACCCCCTATCATTTTTCTGCGGGGGAAACCTTTTTAACAGGGACTTGAAACTTAGACCCAAAGATATGACCTTGGGACTACGACACAAAAACCTGCCCACCTCCCTGACAGAGAGGAGGAGCAAAAGCACAAGTCGAGACCAGGAAATGACCAGTGAGACACACTGATTGCCTAGTCTGAGATCGAAACCAGCGATATTTCTGAAATCCACCCAGACTGAAGAAACAGCTCCCCCTCATGTCCAAAAGTGGTCCTCGTGGCCATTCCTCTTTCCTTAGAAAAAAAATCCTATTAAGTGTTTGCCACAGAGGAGACTCCTATGGTGTACCTCAGTCTGCTTTAAGGCAGGTTTTGAAAAGTGAAGTGATACTCAATACTTCACCTCCTCCAGCTTACACTAAAAAAATCCCAGCCCATAAATCCTTATGGCAGGGAGAGAACAGCTACAGCATTTGTGGAAGAAAATAACACTGGACGTTTCAACTGGAGCACAAAGGACAAACACATAGCTGTCTTGATGTAAGTGGACTATATATCCCATCTATCCTGGCCACTGCCTAGGCTGATGCCTGGGATTTATGAAAGTTAGTGTGCAAAAGCATGTGTAGGCCCATAGGCTCCCCTGAGTGACCTGTATTGTATACTGAAAGCTAACTGGCAGTTTGTACTGTGATCCGATCAATAATGGGGAATAATATGCCAGGCACTGGAAACTTTGGGCCTTAAGATGTTTTGTATTTCAAGTCCCATCAGCTCCAGCCAGCATGGCCAATGAACTAAGATGATGGGAATTATAGTCATAACCTGTGTCTTAAACCATCAGTGACCATCAGGGGAATGATGGCCCTCCAGATGGCATTGGACTGCAATGCCCATGAGGCCTAGCCAGTGGTGACCACATGGAAGGTCACAAGTCCCGCCTTTTCTGGTCTAATTTATTTAGTTAGTTATTACACTTACATCTACTCATAGCTGGCTGGATAGCTTGGTGGTTTAGGCATTTGGCTGAAAAGCCAGAGGTTGGGAATTTAATTCCCCACTGTGCCTCCTTTGAGTAAAACCAGCCTGTGTACATTTGTATTTACTGACAGGTCACGATGGAGAAGGCTCACCCCGTTCTGAAATCAGCCCAAGCCAATAGTCCCCTACTTGGTATTTACCAGATGTTTTGGACTACAGATCCTATTGTCCACCACTGCATAAGAGTTATGAGTTTTGTAGTCCATGTGTCTGGAGGGGCCACAGCAGGGACAGATGGCCAATGCAATCCAAGCCACACAATACCTTTTAGGCCAACAGCAGGTGGACGCCAAACAAAATTGCTCCAGATGACTCAGGTAAGTGAGCCAAGCACTACTCTGGAGGAGAAGTCAAACATCTCCCTTGGTCAAGAGCCAAGCTGACCTTGGGGGAAATTCTTGGCTCCATGATCACATAGCTCTCAGTTTCAACATGAGCAAAACCCCATCCTGTATATGGCTAAGCGCTCCAGATGACTCAAAGTAGTGACCCAAGCAACGCAAAGCAAAAAAAATACCCCCAGTGTTTCAGCCAAACTGATCCTAACTATCATCCTTCCTAACCATCATGGGGCTGTCAATGTCCATATCAGTGAAGGGAGGGGGAACTCATCCATTCCTCCTAAGAATATTTTACTGGGTGCAGTTTTTGACATCTTCAGGTGTTCACCACTATGCCACACTCTCAGTGCATCTGAACCCGGAAGCACGCAAGCACGCTGCCTTATTTAGATCAAGGCAATTAAGAAGCCTTGTTGTCGAGGTGTTTGGCTGGCTTTGCATTCCAACCCAGCTTCTTGAACACTCCCTCAGTGACCTGTTTAAGGAGGAAGGCCTCTCAAGGAGAAGGCCAAGGAGAGCCGCCTTTTTCATCTGAATGTGGAAGGCACCCAAGGTTCAAAACAGGCAAAGCCAAGTCTGGTTGGCCCAAGCTCACAACATGGAAGTCAACACGCACAGTGTTCTAATCTAAGTATTTATAAAGGGTTAGGTATCTAGCTTCTGACCCAGAAGTTGTGAGTTCTATGCCCCACTGTGACTTCTGGTAGAAGAGCCAACCTGTGTAGCCTTGGGTGAGCTGTACTCCTTTGATACCTCCAGAAGAAGGGAGTGAG